AACCTTGTAAACCTATTTGCATCCCACTATGTAATGGCCTCGTAAGTAAAAGATCAATATACCAAATATTATTTTCATTGAGAGTTAGTAACTTAGATTGCATAACGCCTTTTTAGTGCTTAAGTTTCACAAATTAGGAATAGGTTTGAGGTTTAAAAATTTTAGATAAAGAAGCAATAAAAATAGTATGTGAAAGAGAAAGTTAAGAAGTAGATAAAAAATGAAGAATGGGGTATGGAGTAGAGTGAATGAGATTGTTGTGAGAAATAGTAGGTTTAGAAGAAAGAGAATGATTATAAATGTCTAAGTAGGTAGATATCTTACTAATTTTACTATATTTTTCTCAAAGGAACAAGTGTAGAAGAAAAAGTGTCATAAGAAAAAGAATTAGAATTAGTGGATGTAAAGGAAGTTGAATAAAAAGAACCGGAAGAATTAAATTCAAAAGAAACTAATAAATGAGATATAAGAATGGAGTTTAGATCAATCTTTATAGGAATATCGGTAATCTAAATAAAAAGTAACGAGGAAAAATTGAATGATAAGATTGAATACTAGCGAAATCAAATAAATTGGATGTATGAGAATTGAAGATCAATGAAGATAAGTCATGTGGAGAAGAAAATAAAGAAGAAACAAAAAGAGAAAATTGAAAGATGGCTTCATAAAAAATAACATCCTTAGACACCAAGACCTTGTGAAAAATAAGGTCATAAACCTTATATCCTTTCATTCCAAGAGGATATCCGAAGAAAACACATGGAGCGACCTTTGGATAGAATTTATTTCTCTTATGAACAATTGTAAAAACAAAACATAAGGACCTAAAAATCTTTAAATGGTAATAAAAATGTTGTAAGTTGAACAAAAGTTCATAAAAGGTTAGATTGTCCAATAAAGGAAAAGGTGTTTTGTTGATCAAATAGGTAGTAGTAAAAACAACATACCTCTAAAATTTGATAGGCAATGATGATTAAAATATAAGAAAGTAAGCTACATTAGATAGATGTTGATGTTTTATTTCAACAACATGATTTTATTAAAGAGTCCCTATATAAGACAATTGATGAATTATACATTTAGAAGTATAAAAGAGTGGAGGATGAAATTCAAGTTCATTATCGGATCTAATTTTTTGAATAGGAAAACTAACTTATGTAAGGATCATTTAGCAGAAAGAATAAATAATGGACAAAACATCTTACTTATGTCGAAGCAAGTAAATCCAAGTGACTCTAGTAGAGTCATCAACTATAATCGGAAAATAGTGAAAACCACCAAAAAAGCAGTTGAATATGGACCCTATATGTTTATATGAACCAATTCAAAAGGAAAATATGTATTTTCATCATGAATAAGAAATGACAACATTTTCTATTTTGCCAATGGATAAACAAAACAAGCATTGTTATTACATTGAACTACAAAATATTTTTAATTAATTAACTTGATCCTATCAAATGATATAAGACCTAAACTACAATGTCATGTATCATAAATCAAATGGCAGTTTAAACATTATAAGAATGTTTAACTAAAGAGAAAAGACAAGTTCGGAATAGATTGCAACAATAACAACCTTATTTGATGATCAATAATTCCAATAAGTGTTCTTGAAGAGTCGTCCTAGATCCTATAAGAATCATAAAAAAAAAATTAATATTGAGAATTGTTAGTAAGTTTACTAATAAAAATACGAATGAAGTGAAAAAAGGAACACGAGAGAACATCTTATAAAACAAAGGATTATGACCAACAAACTTAGCCAATGTGAGTAACAACAACTTTAGTGCTATTTGGCTTTTAGACTATCATATCATACATTGGTTTATAGGATTTAAAACATTAAAGAGAGTATGACATATGATCCGTTGCACTTGTATTAATTATCTAAGTGCATAGATTAAAAAAATATATTGTAGTTTATAGGTGATAAGTAGATATCATTGGAGTATCACTACCTATAATACTAGAAACAAGTTGAGAATGAGGCATAATGGAATGATTAACAAGATTTGAGGATTGTAATGATGAAGCTTATGGATCCCGAGCACTTAAAAGAGCCATGGGCCTAATAACTTGCTTGTGAGTGAATGCAATATCGGGTAACATGACTTGATTAGATGAAATAATACTATCAACGAATCCAATAGCATGTTATTTTTATTGTTCAAAAGTGATATTATTAACATATAAAAAAGAAGAATTATTATATTAAAAAGAAGCTCTATTAACATTGAATCATTTGTTCTTATTAAACTTGAAATCAATAAGAAATCCAATGAGTCTATAACATTTATCCTTATTGCGGCTAGATTTACCCCAATAAGAAAATATAATATCCATCTTTCTTTTGTTATTATAAAAGACGACCATAGCAGAACTTTCATGAAAAAGGTTTATTCATGACTTGAACGGACTCGAGATTCTTCTCATATAGCCGGATTATAAACTTCATCCGGACTCGAAAAAGGCTTCATAACTAAACTTGAGACTTTAATGAAGCAAATAACTCATTTAAACCATTGAGAAATTTGAACACATAATCTTTTTCATTAATATCAATAAACTTTTGAAAGCAATGGACATTGTAAGTCCCACGACTATAATGAGGTAAAGGCCTAAAGTTTCTTAACTCTTTTCAAACTCTATTGAGTTCAATAAAATAAGCATTGACGAGTCGAGTACCTTGAGTGATTGAACATAAAGACCACCGCAAATTACAACTTAGATTCCTTTGGTCGTGAAAATTGTTTTTGAAAACTTCCTAAATCTTTAAAATTGAATTTATGTAAAACACCGTAGCTAGTAATAGGAGGTGACATCGACCTTAATAACCAAGCCGCAATTAGGTTGTTATAACTATTCCAAGAATCGAAGAAGGAGTCACTCTCTTTAGGTGGAGAAATAAAACTATCGATAAAACCTAGCTTGTTAAGAATTGAAAGATGAAGCATGAAAGATCTACTTCGGGTAGCATAATTCTCCGTAGTATGCTCCGAAGTAACTATGAAAGAACCGTGCTTGATTTGAATGATGAATGAAATATGATGAATGAGTTTCATCAAGCACTGAGAGCCGTTTTGTTCATGATTTGATGAATCATGAACTAGAAAGCATATTGCATTGATGAAAGATACTTAATCAACAAGATCGGGAAGAACTCTATAGTATATTTGGCTCGGATACCATATTGAAGTTAAGAAGCGAAGCAAAATTGATATTGAACTTTAGAGGGAGAGAGAAAATTTTATAATAAAGTTTATTTTGATTCAAATTTATTTGCTTTCATTGATCTCTATCTATTAGTGTGTGTGTGTATAGACACATATACACACATCATAACGTAAGCTAATATTCTAATTAACTTAACAAACTAACAAAATCAATTAAGACTTTACCTGTATATGTGGTACTAACTATAACAATTTGCATCCATGACGCTAAATAATATTTTGTTAAATAGAAAAAATTATTATCGTTTAAATAAATAATTTTGAATTCGAATATTTATGTACATAAAAAATTTTCTAAATAGTTATATCTGTTTATACGTTCGATCGAATAATAAAAAATTAATCTAAATTTTTAAACTTAAAATATATATATATATATATTTTTAAAAAAAAGTGGCTGGCAAGCAATGAATTTCCGACCTCCACAGGAGGAGGGTATTTGTAATTTAATGAATTTCTAACTATACTATACCTGTCCGTGTATAGTTGGATGCCTCAATCGATCATAATTGGGCGCACTGAGAGTTCATAAGAAGGGGTCCCAGCCATCATACACTCTCCAAATGTAAACAAAATTTCTCGAATTGGTAATAATTTTGGAGGAGGTTGGCAACCCATTTAATAAAACACCACAACCGTTTATCAACTGCCCCTCACACTTTGCGCAACATTATCTCCCCTAATTAAATCTTGATGACGATCACAACCGTTCATTAGCACCATCATCTCTTTATTATCAAAACATAAATTAAAGCATTATTTTTAAGGAAAATTCATGGTGGCTGCAGCGTGCAATTGTCAAAAGAAGACATGAATGATGGATGGTGTTTGCATTTGCTGCCAAAAAGAAAATGTGAACGCGTAATACAAAGTCAACAAGGTTAGAGATAGTGTAAGCAAATGGCCGACTGCAAAATTCCACTGACACTTGACGATCGGTGAAGGACAGGTGTCGATTACTGACAGGAGAAGGCAACACGTGTCTCTAATCTAATGGCTCAATTAGCATTGATTGAGAAGTCTCGCGTCACGAGTAGAAGCTAGCTGGATAGGAGAGTGACCTAAAATGCTACGATTATTAATTAAGCAAGATAAAGTGAGGTAAGAGAGAGGTTAACGACGCGATTACTGAGGAAAATTATGTCATTGGGGTCTTATATAAAGGGCAAAAGAGGTGGCGAGACAAATCAAGAAAGAACAAGAGTGGTTCACACTTAAAAAAACAGTGAGAGAAAAGTATAGGCAAGGTTGCTAAGTGAGCATTTTTTGACTGTTGATTTCTAAGTTTTAATTGTTCCCCCCCTCTGTATCACCCCGCTTCTCTGAATCCCTTTCTGTTAATCATCTGTCTTTCAAGTTGTGATTTTTGGGTTTGTTTTTTTGAATGAATTTATGTTTTGAAAGCAAACTTAAGAAGGATTTAATCGAAAGCCAGGTGTTTTCAGAATCGAGATCCAGGTTTTTATTTTGATATCTCAAAAAGGTTTTCATTTTTCATCATTTCTGTTGATTTTAAGCTTCGTTTTTTTTTTTCTTTTTCCTTTTGCTAGTTGAATCAGCTTGAAGGGTTGTTTTTTGGTCCCTCGAGGTTGGTCATTTAGGTTGTTGAATCTAAAGAGGTTGTCTATTTCTAAACCTCTTTGATCTTTTAAACGCAAATCTGTTCTTTAAATTTAAAAAAGAACAAGGTTCGTTTTCTTTCCAAGTGATAAATTTAGTTTATTGTCTATTGTTTTGAGTTTTCTTGAAGGCATGGCAGCTACAATGGATTTCTACAGTAGCCGACCGCTTCAAACAGATTCCTTTGGGGGCGAGTTAATGGAAGCACTTGAACCTTTTATGAAAAGTGCTTCCTCTTCAACTACCCCATCTCCTTCTCAAACCCCAAACTACCCATCTTCTCCTCGTCTACCTTCTATACCTTCTACTTCTTACGATTACTCTTCTTTCTCTACTCAGCCACTAACGCAACATCAACAGCCCTTTTTGTACCCAGAAGGTTGCTGTTCCACATCGAGTGCCTACCCATTTTCAACCGGGTTCTCGATCAACGACCCAATGGGTCTCCAGCAACCATCTAGTTCAATTAGGCTAAACCACCTTACACCAACCCAGATCCACCAGATCCAATCCCAAATCCACCAAAATAACCACCTCTCTTACCTTCAAACTTACCAACAACCTCAAACCCTCAAACTTCTATCCCCAAAGCCAATCCCCATGAAACAAATGGGCACACCACCAAAACCCACGAAGCTTTATAGAGGAGTAAGGCAAAGGCACTGGGGCAAATGGGTTGCTGAGATCCGTTTACCTAAGAACAGAACCCGACTCTGGCTCGGCACATTTGACACAGCTGAGGAGGCAGCTCTGGCTTATGACAAAGCAGCTTATAAACTCAGAGGCGACTTTGCCAGACTTAACTTCCCAAACCTACGCCACCAAGGGTCCCACATCGGCGAGTACAAGCCTCTCCATTCCTCAGTGGATGCGAAACTTCAAGCAATTTGTGAAAGCTTGGAGAATTCTTCGCAGCAGAAACAAGGAGGAAAAGCAGAGAAGCAAAGTAACTCGACGAAGAAGAAAGCGAACAAGGCGGTGGTGACTCCGGAGGAGGAGCAAGTGGTTGTTAAGGCTGAGACAGAGTCTCCAGCGTTGACGGAGAGTGATGGGTCGGGTGGATCTTCGCCTTTTTCTGATCTGACGTTTCAGGATTTTGAGGAAGCACCGTTGGATTTTGATTCGGGGAATTTTATGTTGCAGAAGTATCCCTCTTATGAGATTGATTGGGCTTCTATTTTATCTTAGATTTGTCTTTGTTTAATGTTATAGTCTATTCCTATTATTGTTTTTTTTTCTTTTCTTAGTAGATTTCGGGATTTGGTTGCTGCAATGAAGTTTTTGGCAGTTGCAGCAGTGCCAAAGTCATCAAGTCTGTAGTTGGAGTATTAGACTGCTCTGTTAGGTGTTATTAATAGGTAAATAATATGTTGGAATCATGTAAATTTCCAGTCATGGTTTGCTGGTCTTTTTTTTATTTCTAGCTGAACCATCATGATGTAATTGAACTTTATTATTACTAAGAATTTGTTGTAGTTTTAACGTGATTCGATTTTTGTTGGATCTGTTAGTTGGTATCTTTTGAGTTTAACCTTAATTACATGTGATCATCAAGAAAACGTGAGAACGAAAACAGTTGGTATCTTTTGCGTTGAACCTTAATTACATGTGATCATCAAGAAGATGTGAGAACGAAAACTGAGGGTCGTATGTGAAGTTATTTTGTAGAAAAAGGTAAATCTACGGCCAATCGAGGAAAGATTGAAATTAAAGGCCAAACGCTGTCGGAAGTTGAGAATCATTTTTGATGATATCTTTTGCATGATGAATGATCAAATGCTAAGATTTTTGCCTTTGATAGCTTGTTTGCCCCTTTGCTGCCGTCTTGCGAAATAGATGTTTCTTTCTTTGTAACAAAATCTAGGATTTGAGAACCTAAGGTGGTGTTTTCTCTGGCAAGTACAGAATTGGTGATGACCATCCTTTCCAATCCGTCGTCGCACTTGCATGATTTAGGGAATCACCAATCATGAAAATTATGTTTGTCGGCCATATCGTTAACTGTTTTCGTTTTGTTCAATAGGACACCGGAGTGCTTTCTGCCAAGCTTTACAGAGAACAGTCGAAGGTTGAGTTGATAACAAATTCGTGCCCGCTTTGCTGGGATCTTAATTTTGAAATTTGTGGAGAACATCTGAATGTAAATTTTGCAGTTCTGTATTTTAGCTATTCCTCCTATTTCCTTCGTATTTGTATTTCCATCATTTACGTGTTAGCATCACTACATCCGTCAAACTTTGCTAGCTCCTGACAAGGTATCACTCTCCATGAAATCTCAATGGAGACCTCTAATGGCAAAAAAGTCTAGACAAACAATACAGAATAAAAAAAAGTCTGTTCGTTTTGGAATGAAAACTATTCTATTACCGTCAAATTGTTCGGTGAAGTTTCCCATCTTATCAAGTTTCTAAAAAATTGCGGAGTTGCGGTTTTTCATAAAAGATGCATATTGAAACACATTTTCTTCTTCGCAATCCATGATATGATGGTGCTAAAACTGTAGTGCAAGCACGCGTGATCGAGACTCAAATCTCCACAGCCACACTTGACAAGCTTTGCGTGATCAAAATGATTATATGCACACAATATCCTCATTATTATCTAAAGCAAAAGGCGCAGATCGTTTCTTTGGATAATTGAATTTTTGTCTTCTTTCCTTCTAAACTTTCTAACAAGCAACTCTAGCTATAGCTAACGTCTCCTTTAAGCTACCACGCATAAATGTCTTGGAGAGTTTCGAAGTTCTGTTGAAATAGTGTACCGACCAATGAAAGGATACCCACAAATTGGAACATTGATTGTTTATAAAAAAATCATTTTTCTCTTTTAGCATTTTTTTTTTTTATGTTGCCTTTTATGCTTCTAGATCAAGACTCCTTATAGTTTTATCTTGGAGCGAGCCTCAAGCCCAAAAACCCTTTATTTTTTCAATTCTTTGTTAGAATCTCTCCAAAACTTTATCCTATTTAAAAATTAGTTTTTGAATTTTTATTTATATATATATTTTTTAGATTTAGTAAATTTTTTAATCTTCTGTCATTTATACCAAAAAAAATATTTAACAATTTAATAAATATTTTTAAGATGGAAATTATTTAGTCAAATTTACCTGAAACTCTCTAAAAAATTAAGATAATTTCGGATTATTTTTTATTTTTTTCTTGATTATATATATATATATATATATATATATATATATATATATATATATATATATATTCTCAATGTTGAAAAGTTTTATTTTTTTAAAAAAAATGAATTGAATTTTTTTCAATGTGAGTGTAAAACTTCAAATTAAAATATAAAAAACTGATTTTTTTTAAAAGGAAGAGATGATAGTTAAAAATTATAAAATAAAATATATTTTTTAAAGAAATTCAAAGATATCAAAATTAAAAAATTCAAAATTGATTTTAAATTAATGAAAGTTTAGGAAAGATGGGGCCTTTTAGCCTTCTTTGTTTGGATGTTTTCCATGTCATTTAAAATAATCGTGTAGCTAATATATATTGCCATCACATTAAAACATTGTTTGTTATTAATTAACAAGGAACAGAAAACAATCTGAGATGAAATGATTCTGTCTTCCAAAACATGAGTCGTTGGGTCATTTTCCTTCCACTATAGTGGTGTATTTCATGAATATTTTTTTTCTCGCAACCTCTTTTGCAATTCAAATCGTAGATAATAGAATGAAAATCAAACACATTTATCTCTATACCATTCTATCTATCCACATTAAAATAGAACATTATTCGAACCAAAATTATCCTAGTTAAATCAGATTAAAAAAATGAAAATTTTCACATATAAGGTAATTTGGGGAATTAATTGAATTTTGGAAAAAAAAAATCGGCAAGACTTCAATATTTCTGATACCCAAATTATATTTCTCATTTTTAAAATTTTAAAACTAACAAGAATCAAACCCAAATGACCCATTTTATGGCTTGTAACTTTGGTTGCCAAAGCCCGACCTCCAAATGTAATTTAATTAATATTTTATCTTAAAAAAATTAATGCGCAATGCGTTGAAAAAGCTACGGTTAAACTAATTATCCAATAGGATTGAGCATTCGGGTCGGGTAAAAAAATCCATGTAAAATTACCCAACTGCACTTGTTAGTGCTTCCATGAGCGATTTAACTTTACGGGGAAGGGAATAATACTCCTATTACCATCAACACGTGTGTCGAAGGGAATGCATAAAGAGATGGGAAAAATTGAAAATCTTGTGGACTTTCTTTGAATCCTGGATGAAGCTTCAGACTAAGTAGCTTTTTGGAATGGGTTGGTCATTTGATGAAAAGCGCCCGTATAACCTTCGCTTTTACAAGCATATAAACATAAAAATACAAGTGATTGAAGTGTTTGCGAGACAGCCACTTTTTTATTTTCTCTTTATTCTTTTTCATTGTTTCCATACCATGCCAAAGACGTGTTCACATGAGCAACACAAGAAAGACAAAAAGGAGCACCTAAAAAGTCCATGGCCTATCAGAATCCAAAGTTTGCAGCTTAGGCAATCTATTATTGACATTCCTCACAATGATTTCGATACTCCACTGCGACGGACCATACCGACAATGACTTCAATTTTTTTTCTCGTTCTAAAAAAAGAAAATATTCATTAATATTGAATAACGTATAACAAAATTATTATTCCTACATTACATTTAAATAAAATAAAATAATAAAAAGATACTATATGACTCGATAATACCAATTGATAATTTTATTTTTTTCTGAAAACTCCAAATCTTTTATTATTGGGATTCATTATATTGGCTTAAATATTCGGTTTTTTGTTGATCATTCTATGTTTCTTTTACAACAAATATTAATATGGTAACAGATTTGTTTATTTATAAATAATCAAACTACTAAAATTAGACCATCTCATGTATGGTGAAAGTATTGTTAAATAATATAGTTGTAAAAAGGTCTTAACATTTAACACAAACATATGAATATACAACTCCATGCTTAGTGACTTCCATTTCGATGGAAGATAAATCGACTATGAGACTAATAAAAAAAATATAAACTTATGCAGATCGATTAAACTTATGCCAATCGAGAATGATTATGACGTTAATAGAAAAACATAAACTTATATAATTCGAGAATCTAATATTTACTGATAAGTTATTAAACATAAAATAAAAATGGACCTCTAATCCAACTGGCAGGCCTCCAAATAGTTTATTTGATAGAATTCAAGCTGGACTTCACATAAAGATGTGTTCGCGTCAATCCAACTTTGAGTTTATCCCCTGAACAACAACCGAAAGCCGCTCAGGCATCTATAAATGCTTGGGCTACATCCTGGCCCATATCAGTGCACACGGAGAAATTTTAGCGTGATTGGATTTAACTTTATTTCGGCCCAACAGTAAGTAGGGTGCGGTATCTACCATCATGTTTTCAGCTCCGATGCTAAGAAACTCAACAGTTGAAAATAGCATGCACCCAAATTTAGTAACAATCCAATTTTCACTTCTCAAATAATAATAATAATAATAATAAATAAATAAATAAACTCTAGTCCTGATTCTTCTTTTTTGGGGCTGTGGGGAGGGGTGGTGCAACCACATATCTCAAATTCTCCATGATTTAAACGGCCTGTCGCATCTAATCAAGTGGGTGAAGACATTAGCCAAGGAGAGTATCCCATTTAATCTCAGTTTGTCCATGACCCTTTTCCTCCTATCTTTTCTAAAATGTAACTCAGCCCATAGCTCCGCCATGATCTGGCCTATGCTTTGGCCCATTACAGGACAGAATCTGGGTGCTTGACCGTGTAAAATGTATTCAAGTTTACTTCAACCCAGCAGAAAGCCAGGATTTGGTCTGGGAAAAAGGGTGACTTCATTTCCGGAGACGAAGAAACGCAGGAGCCAAAAGTGTTCTCTATTGAAAATCGTGGAAATTGGTAGGATTTGAAACCTTTTGAGTGATGATAAACCATATTTTCTTGACAGCGTCTTTCTTCAAAATAGCAGTGACCTGGCGGTCCGATTTGGAAGGCATGGTATGAATTCATATTTATGATAGTTTAACCTTCGCTTTTCTCAGGGCTCACCTCCATCAATCAAGTCTCGACTGGTATCCAATTTCAATCACGATTCTAATTGGGATGGACTACTCTTCTACTAGTTCCAAAATAGTTTTGATCAGAGCACAGCTCCAGCAAATAACGGCAATTCAGGTTTAAGTTTAGAGAAGAACCAAAGCTAGACAGTGCTTGCTTGGGGACATAATGATTAATGACAATGCAGAAATGGGACATTACTCAATTTTGAGCCAAATGGTTAGTTTGATTGGATGCACTTATTGCCGCAGCTCACACATAATTCGGCCTTACCACGACACGATACCAATGTCCTAAACGTGTTACCCCTGGAAACGACGAACGTGCTGAGCCCAGTATTTAAAAAAAGAAAAACCGAAGCGATAAGGTTTATGCTGTTTTTTTGTTCCCCCTGATTTCTTCTAGTTAACTGGTCATAAGTTCTGTAGTTTGATGAATTCACCACATGGGATTGCCATTTTGTTAATTCGGCGTTGCACAATTTCTTGGTGATTACCTTCCTACACCAACTTGATTCTCGGCTCTCTGGCAAATAATACAGGTTTGCTATCTATTGAAACAGCTAAAATACAGAAAAGCTAGCTTTGGGTTTTCTGTGTTTAAAAATCAAATTCAGCACCGCATAACAATTGATGTTGTGCGATGGCCGACTTTGGCCACAGGATTCTGACATGTCATTCTGACATTGAAGACTTGGGCTGAGATGTTGAACGACATCCATTCAGACTTTGGTCTTAGGTTTTGTTTCCGTGGCTGTGCCTCTAGAAAGAAGCAATGAACGAAAAGGCAATGCCATATGAACAAAATGGCAACATAACGTTGAAACAGTAATTCCTCATCACGCACTGGGAAGAGAGAGAAATTGGGGTTGTTTTGGGGGTGGGGGTGGGGTGGGGTGGGTTGGGTTTGGTTGTGGTTGGGAGAATGAACTATGCAATAAATATCCCTAGGATCAGACAGGCATAATGGACCATGACAGAACATTAGTTCTGATTCTAAGTAACTGACCAGTTGAAAATAGGCGTCCAAACCCAATTCCATTTGAGAAGCCAGTTACTGGCAATACAGCAACAATCCAAGCCTGTTAATATGTCATCAACTAAATTTACCGATTTCCATCTTCTTCTTGATTGCCCTTTGACCATGATATATAAATGAGTCCAGTATGCCAGAAACAGTGAAAACACCTGAGTATAAGAAAAACCAACCATTATTCACACACCCAATAATGAAATATATCAATATAAATGAACACAAAAACAAAAATGTTGACATTTGAGAACTTTATATCATTGTTTCTTAAATCTGTTGTTTCAAAGTTCTTTTCCTTGTTCCATATTTCTACACAAATAAAGGGGAAGATCAATCAATTATCACTTGGTCTGGATTTTCCTTCAGAAGGGATAAAATATTACCTCCAACTATGGCGCACACATTTGTTAGGAAATGTAAAAACGAAACATGTTCCTCTGTGAAAGTCACCTACAAAATGCAAATCAGATGTAAAGGCTAGACCAAAAAGCATCTCCAAAGTGGAAAAAATTCGAAGTAACTTAGCATTTCTGATGCAGAGCAACTCTTGACCTCACTTAGCAGGAAGGAAAAAAAAAGAAAAAAGAAAAAAATAAACTACCTTAATTGGAGAAAGGTCATAAAAGAAGAAAACTCCTGGGAGGGACTGAAGGTGACCTATGCCTGACCCCCTAAAATGTTCGGTTACGGAAAACTGGAAAAGAAACTCTTAACATATTAGATCACTTTAAATGAATAGAGAAAATGTAAAAATGAAAACTTAAAGGAGTGTGATCCCACCTGATTTGACTGGATAATGTGTCCACTCACATCTGTGTATACAGTAGGTACAACCTGCAAAATAAAGAGTCCGTTTGGGTAAAATGCTTGAGAACTGATTGCATTTCTTAATTATTACCACTAGAAAGGAGAAGTGATAAAAAGAAACAGCAGAGGCATTTGTCCTGAAGAATAACCTTGATGAAATACTGGTACATCCCACTTGGCGTTTCTTGTGTCCATTGCACACTGAAAGTTAAAAAAGTATATTGATATCTCAGCATATAAAGTGTAATAGAAAGCAAAGGGGTGCAAGCAATTCAAGCCCAGCAAAAGGGCAGATAAAACCAGGATGCATGAAGAGAATTACCCATCAAGAGGATTAACAACACCGGGAAAATATTCTCCGAAAGTCAGCCTATTAATCTTGTGACTTATCTGTATCACATTGTGCAAATTAATCAGAAGGTTTGTTTACCATAGCATGATGAGCAATAAAGAAGTGATTTACAAATTCATTTTCTTTGGAGGACACAAGTTCAATGATTGATATATGATATGTAGGGACAGGCCAGAGGAAGTAAAATCGTGGCTTACATTAAAACTATCCTTCTGAAAAGCCAGCAGATCATGTACGTGAACACCAGATTGCTGAAAACTCTTCCCAGGTGCAAAATGAAAATTTCCAGCCACTTTATTAACTTCCAAGAATCCGTAAATGTTGCATCCTTCCCCTTCTTCATCTTTAATCCTTTGGAGAAATCCCTCTCTTTTGCACTGATTGTTACATGTTAAGCAGGGAACAAACCATAATTGGAATAAACAATGAATTTTTGTGATTTGTGTTCAACCTACACACGTCATTAGTGCATCTATGGAATGCAAAATCATAAAAGACAAACAAATACAAGACAAAATTTATCCACACACCCACACAGTGCAGAAACATAACAGCCCAAACTTGGATGTATTTCCAGGCAAGACCAGCACTCAAAATTCAAAGCTGGCTAGTTATTGAGTAATATCAGACCATTGAGAGACAGATTTTCTCCCACATTAGTGGTGTTGCAGCTAATAGTTGTGGAAGAATAGCCACACCTTAACATGCTTCTAACCGGCTACAATACTATTCACTATCCCGATAGGAGAAAGAAAGGAGGAAAAAGAGACGGAGGTGGTAACCTGAGCATTAATGTCTCTTGGTGACAGGTACCAAGTAAATGAGCAAAGGAATGGTCAAGGATGAAGCATTAAATATCCATCAAATCGAAATTAAGATATCATTTCAGAGAATCAGAACTGTTAATATGTGCAAGAGTCTTAACCACATTCATCCAATTTGTTCTTGCAAATTGAATCTACAACTCCCCAAAACAAATTAAATGACACTAAATTACCTGGTCCATTAAGTCCGGATTTGTCACCGCCCATCCTTTCTTTCGATATGCTTCACGAACTTCCTCACAAGAATTACAACATTCTTCATCTGACTGCAGTATGAAAGAAGATACAACGGGGAGTAAAACTACAGGCAAGATAAAGATAAAATAGACATGTGAATGTTTCTAGTGGCAAGGCAACAAATTCTGATTGTATACAAAAGAAAAAAATGCTGCCAGAAAGAGAAAATATAGGCCACAAGAAAGAAAATAACACAGGAGACAAATAGTGGAGAAAATGTCAGCAAATTGCACAATCAAATCAGAAACAGCTCAATAATTATTACTAGAAGCCGTAAGTTCTATAGCAAGCACTTACGCAATAAACATGATACAAGGAAAACCTCAGGCCAAAACTGTTGCTTCGGATTTTCAATATTATACAGTGAAAAGGCATTCAAAAAGTAAACATGTGTCCACGTGAACAAGCATATTAGAGTAATGAGTGGATTGTCTCACATGTATGCAGTTTAATCGTAAATATGAGACGAGGCTTTATTTATTTGGGTTGATGCTTGGCAAACTTACTGTTTCTGCACCATAACAGGAACCACAGTATGTCTCATTGTGCTCAAGCCTGCCACCATGCCTCTGCAAAGGCTTTTCAATCTGTTGCAAGCAAGAAAAGGTGTCAAACAGATGTTGGAAGCAGGGTGGGGCATCTCAGTTGTTATAAGTCCAAAAATGAAATCCTCAACAGCACAGTAAAGACAAAAAATTCTGACAAATTGCACTTGTGAGAGCAATGGAGAATTATAAACATTGCTATGAAGATCAAGGAGAAAAAAGCTCCTCTCTGCTCTGAAAGAAAGCAGAGTCTAAACATTTCTATTTTTCTACCTCTGGCTCATAAGATAAGATTAGATCAACCTAAGCCCCATGCAGCCACAAGATTGAAATAAACCACTTATAATCAGCTATCTCCATCTACCGACAAAGGATACGATATCAGACAAACTTCCAGTGAGACATCTGCAAAATAAAGCCCCCCTTTAACAATGCCAAGCCTTAACTTCCATCCTGAGAAGCGTGTTTTTTTTTTCTTTTTGGTGGGTTAAACAACACATGTTTTCAACAGACAGAATTGATTCTTTCCGATAATAACTTTTTTTCATTTTCAAACTCTCTCTTAGCTCCTCACATCACTGCAAAATCAAGATTGATTCTCTTCTGCCGCCCACATCAATCATAGAACAAATTAACATAACCCTAAAATTGACGAGAGACAAGTTGGGCTTTGAGTAGACAAAATACTGCAGACTACACAACAATTAGCTCTCAGAAAACCCTTAAAGTTAATTGCCCAAAGTCAAGTCAATTCAATTCATAGATCACAAACAATGGTGTTTCCAACATAGAAAGTTTAAGCAAAACTGTACACCGACCTTAGGAGCACCAATTCCATCTTGCCTTGCTTCTATTACATTCCCATGAGAATCTATTCTTTTCTTGATAATATCATGTTTCTGCAAAGCATATAAGCCACCATCAAAAAACTGAAAATTTAAACTTGGCAAACAACTAGGTCGCGAGCATTAAGCCCTAGGTCATGAGCATTGAGCCTATGCGTGCAAAAGCCAAAAAAGTGAGGTGTTGTGGTACATACTACATCAAGATGTTGCTCTCCACTAATATCCATCGCATCAAGGCTGAGAATAGAACACGGAAGAGCAGGGAAAGTGACATCAAACTGCACTTTCAAGCATCACATAAATCAATTAGTTGAGCAATTCATCCAAGCGTAACAGACCAATTGATACACAGACAACGAGAAACATGACATAGAAAACAACATTACATTGATACGTAGAGTTTCTCCTCTCGAAGTATCGACTACTAACTTTGTTTCAGTTACCGAATGAAGATATAGTCCTGCCAAAAAAATTAACAAAAATAGACATTGAAAAAATCAAATCCTATAAGAAACTAAATCCTATCAATTTCTCAAATTTCAAACCAAATATCAAAGCTACTGTATTCAAAACAAAGCCAAAAAAAATTAGAAAGAAAACACATACAGTCAGATCTAAATAATTAGAAACAGCTATAATCACATAACTGGAGGATCACTGATAATAAGCATAAACAAAATGCAAAATAGTTAACATACGGAGCTCGGAGAAGAAGAGGAGAAACATAACGATAGAGGAAGCGAGAGTGATGACACCACCGGAAAGCGTGCGGCTGTAGAAATCCTCATTTATTTTTGGATACGCATCCAAATTCCTTAGCTTGCCCATTAACCCGTCCATTTTCTCAATAATTAGATCGAGACTGTCTTTTTTTCCTTTTATGCTGTTCGTGTTCGTAAACCTAATCTATGGATTGTACTATACAGAAACAAAATTCATTTATTTAGGTATACAAAGGTAAAATCTAAATTTTGAGGTGCTTAAACGCCTCGCCTCTTCGATCTGATTGATTGATTGATTGTTTTGTTTACGAGGCGTTTAAGACTCTTTGGGACCCCCCACTCTTGGGTTTTTTTTATTTGTTTTTTCGTTTCGTTTCGTCTTCTTTTCTTTCTTTTCTTTTCTTTTCTTTCCCTTCCTTCAAATTTCACCGATATGGGTAGCTCTGTCCCGCGGTAAATATGCTCTACGGATAAGTGTCCTTTCTACATGATTTTTTGAAATTTTTGGGCCTGTTGACGTCTTGCTCCGTGTATATTTTTATTTTAAGATGTGTTTCTTAGGTTTATTTAATTTGTTTTGAATTAATTTCTTCTCAAATAAATGGTAATTTTTTGCTTTTTTTACTTTGACAGTTTTGCTCATGCCGTTGAGTCTTAAAATATAAAAAAAGCTAGAATCTGCTCTATAGTTGATTCATTTTTCATTTCATAATTTTTACATATTTCGGGAAAAAAAACTACTTGTTGATGGTGCCTTAAAAAACTAATACATGTGGTATTAGATGAAGAAAAAATCTAAAATGACCTGAGGGAAACAATCATAATTACCTTCCCTAATACGTAATGTTCACAGTTTATCATTAAGTAGTCATCTAACTCTATCTTCCATGCACCCTGCACTAAAAAAAAAAAAAGAAGAAGTCGTAAAACTTGTAATGGTCATAAAAATTATTTGGGTGGCATCGGATTATTCGGGATGCACAATTTAGTCGAGCTACAAAAATCAAGGCCCAAAAGTGGTTTCTATACAGTTTAGACCATACACATGATTTAGATTTAGCAAATCAGATGGAAGCCCATAGAAAGGTACAGAGAAATCGGTTTAAATCCACTGAACCTTTGAAAGTGAAATGTATCTGCAAGTGGCATAATTAGATAACTCCGGATAGAAGGGCTTGGCCCATTTACTACCACCAACTACTGGACCCATGTGTCATTTCAGGTTTCAACTTGCTACACGTCTTTCGGTTTCAGAGCTAAATATTTAGTTCTTTGTTTTAGTGTTTTTAGTAAAGTTGGTGGCTTCCCAGAACAGATGAAGAAGTCAGTGTGTCCCTTGAAGTCTTATAGGCGACCACTATATTGATCGGTATAATGTGGTTGGATTCAATTCAATCACTTTGGTTACCATGCAAGATTTAAGACGTAAAATTGTCAGACCACTGATTTTTCGTACACTCGAAACTTGATGGCTGATCAGAAAATTTTGACGAACCCGATTATTGAAAATTGAAAATACATACGAATCATCCACTTGGAATGTTATAGGAAGCCTGTCCTCCCATCTGTCATGACTTATTCAAATATATAGCAACATATATTTCATTTTTTCCGTCATGAGGAGATAGGATGGCACCATAGCATCCTCTTCTCCATTCTTTGTGAAAGATTTGGATGCTTGATTCTTGATTTCTTTGCCAAATGCAAACAAATGAATAATGAACTAGTTGCGCAGCATAAAGCTATTCAGGCCGGTTGTTCTTGGATGCGAAGAAAATATATCGGTCAGGAACTTCCATACGACTTCGTGAGAATCAATTCATTGTTGTTTAATTCACATGGAAACTGCACATGGAGTCGGAATTTATTCTAGAGAACAACCAATTAAAGAAAAAAAGATAGGTAAAATTAGTCAGATGGGAATTCGATGCCAAATGAGACATTAATTCTCCGTTTGATTCTTTATGCCCATGTACTAAAGTTAATTGTGAGTTTTGTCATTACCCTATTTTTATCCCCGTAAAACATAGGAAAAAAAAACAAAACAAAAAAAGAAAGAAAAAGAAAAATCAAATGAAAAAAAATGAGAGAACTAGGCCTAGATCCAAATTGGACTAGGTATTAGGCATTTAGCTATACCTGATTAATAATAATAGAAAAAATCAAAATAGAAAAAAAAATCCTAGGTTAGTCTTAAGCAACCCTATAGATATGGGGTATGCACATACATACAAAATAAGAGGAGACTGCCACATAAAAACAAAAAAAAAACCCAAGCAGCGAAAAAAGAGAGAGACAAGCAGCAGCCACAGAGATCTTGCTGCTGCTTGCCGCTTGTCTATCTTCAACCAACAAATGCCAAACCAACAGGAGCGCCTGCCAAGACTGTTCCAACTCCACGATAATCACTTAATTCCGATAAACGAAGAAGCCACACTCACTATTTAAAGTTTTGTCGTCCTCGCGGTGAACTTTAAATTCTGTTTAGTCTCTGAATTATTGATTTAAGTAATTACGTTCCTATACTTTCATGTTTCTTTTCTGATTTTTCATTTAAATTTTATGATTTTTTCTGATTACTTCTCTATATCATATGATCAGGACCAGCTTTATAATATATGTGACCCTAAGCAAAATAATATTTTTCTTGACAATTTTCAACTATGTTTTCATTTAAATCTTTATCTTGTTCTTCTAGTATTTAGGGTTTAATATTAGTAACAAATCTATCAAGTGCACCTTTTTAGGATTGAATTAATTCTTCTATCTTTCTTTTTTTCTTACATTTTTTATATCCAAATTCATACTTTCTAATAGACATTTTATTCAAATAATAAAATTATAATATAATTATAAAAAGAGTAAGAAACTCGACACTTGATTAGATGTGGCAAGCAAATATAATGACAAAAAGAAATTAGAAAAAAATAAAAAGAAATTTGAGAAAAAAATAAAATATTATATGATATATATATATAATTTTATTTGCATAAATTAAAAAATTACCTTCGATTCTTCGTCAAGCTAATTAGAAAAAGGTTTTATAAGAGATCCCCGATTATTTTGAGAAAGAAAGTAATATAATGACAAAATTTAGTGATCTAAAAATTGTTTCACTCACAAATATTTTTTTGAAATTTTTTTGTAAGTAAAAGTGTCTCGCTAAAATAAAAATTAAAATCTTTTATAGGTAGAAGGTGACTGAAAAAAATCTAGAAAAGGTATTATTTTTAACGTTGAAATAATAATATCTCCGAACGATGGGAGCCCTTCAATGCGAAACTCTAGTACCTATGACTCGTTAATAGAGAGAAGAATGATGTCTCATACTTAGGTGGAGACTCGCATCTTCTAATTTATCTCATTTTTCATGGGTGTAGGTTTAGAATAAAATTTTAATTGAGGCCTCCTTTTCTATGGGGGCCCTAGGCATAGGCCTCAATGGCCTATGCCTTGAGCCGACACTCGCATATGATGGCATTGTCAATTATATGATTGAGGATGAATATTTGGTTATATATGACAAAATCAAAAGGATATAAATTTAGGTTGTTTTGATGTGTGATGTGTTTTAATGTTCAATCGGATTGAGAATAGTAAATTAGTGATTTTTTTTTTTATCATTATTTTCAATATAAAGGGTTGTTTGACATGTTATATAGTATCTTTATTTTTTATCCAACAAGTCCCGGAGCAATAGGCTAGTAATTTTTTTTAGAAAATTAAAATAAGTCAAATCTGAATTTATAGGCCAATGACCTTTTGGAGGCCCTATCGACTATTTTATTTTTCATGAAGTCGTTTTTATGTGATCCGTAATTTTTTTACATGTTTTTATCTCTTACATTTTTTGTGTTTATTTTATGTGATGCCAGTTTAGGTCGGTCTATATGAAGTAGGTTTAGGATTTGAGACCGCCTTTGTTCTAATAAAAGATCTTTTCTTGTTATTTTATTTTATTTTTATTTTTATGGCTATTGGTTATAATTAATTTTAATTTGTCTTTATGGTGATACCAATTTCTTCTTCTCATAGATTTAGCTCTTAATTTGGTCTTGGATCCAATTTTATATTTTAAAATGACATAGCGAGGTGATATGGGCCTAAGGCCCATGTCCATTTTTTTTAGTAACTACGAACTTGTAATTTTATTTATTTTTTATTTTTTATGGTTTGACGAGTGAATTTGATCTTAGACCCATGTTCATTTTATTTTATTTTTTTTTGTGTTTTTGTGGGATTAGAAGTTAATGTGTCATGGGCTTTTAACTTTAATTTTTATCTTCCCAAACAAGCTTCAATGACCAAATGATATTTTAGGTGAAAGATTAAGTCTTTTTTGAGTCTTCAAATCACTTTCCTTACGACTTGATTAGAAAAAATCCAAATAATCGAACATGCAACTAAAGATAGAAAAGATAATTTACATGAATGAATTTTCTTAAGATAGAAATACAAAGTAATCATATTGCAAGGGCACACTAGAATAATTATAGTCTTTTTTATTTGTGTAATCAATTTTCTTATTAATAACTCTTAAGACTAATAATATATTTTTCTTAATTTTTATTTTTTAAAAGTAAGTGATGACTTCACATTTATTTATTTATTTATTTTTTGTTTTTGGCAATTGCCATGAAGAGTTTCAAAGGTTTCGGTCAAATAATATACCTAATAACTCGCTAAATTAGCTAGCATCTTAAAAAAAATTTCTTAATTAAGCTTTGAGTCTATCATGCCAACTAATCAATGAAAATAACCCCATACCTTACACTTCTTTAAAAATAATTGCAAGACATGACCAAAAAAAAAAAAAAAAATTAAAATGGTAATGAATAATGGTCAATCAGATTGAATAATAAAATGTAAAGTTGTTGACGGAAGGTTCCTTCTAATGCTGTCCTGCTTGTAACAGCTAATAAGCACGTGAGCTTCACTGTTCCATCAGCCTGCCTTCCGTAGGGCACGAAAATGTAATCATATCATTAGCTAGTTCGCAATCACATCACTTCAAATCACAATTTTGTTTTATTTCGCTCACCCAATTTGCTCTAACTGTAACTGGACCTCGTGGAGTATCTTCGAGTTTCAATTGAAAAATGATTGCCAAATTGTTCG